ATGTACAACAACCTCGGAAAGGAGCAGCGCTTCGAGATAGGTAATAGTGCACTTCAAGTTGTAAAAGACTATGTCTACTTAGGGCAGGTAATAACCGCAGAGCCTAAGCACGAGATTGAAGTAACCAGAAGAATAAGAATTGCGGTGGAACACATCCGGCAAGCACTCTCCAATTATGACAGGTAGATTGCCACTATTCCTCAAAAGGAAAGTATATAACAGCTGGTATCTTGCCGGTACTCTAGCTACAGAGCAGAAACCTGGAGACCTTACAAAGAGGGTTCAGCTTAAATTGGGACGACGCAGCGGAAATGGAAAGAAAAATGGTAGGTGTAACCTTAAGAGACAAGAAGAGAGCAGAGTGGATTAGGGGACAAAACGGGGGTTAAGGATCTCATAGTTGAAATAAAGAAGAGAAAATGGACATGGGCCGGGCATGTAGCGCGTAGACAGGATAACCGCTGGTCATTAAGGTAACTAACTGGATTCCCAGAGAAGAAAAGCGGGTTAGGGGGAGACAGAAGGTTAGGTGGGCAGATGAGATCAAGAAGTTTTCGGGTATAAATTGGCAGCAGCAAGCACAGGACCGGGTTAACTGGCGGAACATGGGAGAGGCCTTTGTCCTGCAGTGGACGTAGTCAGGCTGATGATGATGATGATAATGATGATGATGATGATGATGATGATGATGACCGGAGCGTAGTGGCGCCAGCTCTGTGCCAGCGTAAAAGAATACGTTGGCGTCCATGGGGCTCGCGCTTGCCGCTTTCCTGCCTGAACCAGCTTGACCAGCTTGTTCCGGCTAACACTGCATGAATAATAACATGTGTTTTACGTGAACTCGCTCGTTGCATTTGGTGGAAACGTGCTGGGTAACCTCCTTGAGCCCCGCAGCCGTAAGCTACCGTCTCATTCCACTATGACCGAGTGCGTCGATCCCCCTCAAGCCTCTTCCACGCCGCCGCCTGTCATGTGCCCTGGTGTACTTCGTCTTCGTGACCACCAGTCTACAACGGCACTGAAGATCATGATGTCGAGGACTGGCTGCCAGAGTACGATCGTGCCAGCGCAATTAACAAGTGGGATTACCTTGCGAAGCTGACTTAACTCATCTTCTGCCTGACAATGGCGAACCTATGGTTCACCAACCACCAAGCCGACATCCCCACCTGGTCGGTCCTCAAAGAAACCGTAACCCAGTTTTTTGGTCGTCCAGCTATGCCCAAATTTCACGCTGAACTTGGTCTGCGGAGACGATCTCAGCGAAATGGTGAGAGCTTCACGAGCTATATTGAAGGTGAGATCTTCCTTTGTAGACGAGTGGATGCGAGGATGACGGAGGCTGACAGAATAAAAGCATATAATGGAAGGCATTGATAACGACGCTTTTCGTATGCTTGTGGCCAAACACCCGGAGACCGTCGCGGTCATGATTCATCTCTGTCAAAGTTTTGATGTGCTGCGCAAGCAGCAAATTTCTACACGACGCGCTCATACGCAAACAGCGGATATTTTGGCTTTAGAGTGCAAAAAGCAGTGGCCCCGACTACACCGATTTGATGCCTCAAATTCAACAGTACATCCGAGAGGAAGTTCTCTACAGCTCTCTCTTTCGTTTCGACAGCTCTCTCATTCGGTTCCTGCCGTGGACAGGCACCGAATCGGCGACCTTGGAATAACTAAGGTCGCAGGTTCAGTTCCTGCCCATGCCAAGTTATCTTTTCACCCACTTCTCTTTCTTCATATTTGCCTAACAATTTGGATTATAAACTCCCCTACACTTTCCTTGGCATTATTGTCTCTTAGATTTCATTATTATTGTGTCATATCACGGAAAAACGAGCTAATAAGTATACACTTCCTTCCCCTATTAATTAACGAGGGTCTCGTACTGGCAGACTTGGTGCCTTTAGGTTGTTTACGAGAACTCTTGGTCAGCTAACAGCTCGTAGTAAACTTCACATGCTACATGACGCCAAACAGGCTCATAAAGAGTGTGCCACGCTCGCCGCCATGGCTACTGGTGGCGCTGACTGACACTCCCACGTTGAAATTTACATATTTACTCGTTTAAGTGGCTAGGGGTGGATAGCCCCCTTGGTAGCTCAGTCGTAGAGCATCGAACGCAGTATTCAAAGGTCAGGTGTTTGGTTCCTGCCCCCGGCAAGTTAACTTTTCACCCACTTTCTTCACATTTACACTACAATTTTGCCTATTACTTCCCCTATACTTTCCTTGGAATCATTTTCTGTGAGATTTTATTATATATACGTGTCTGTGTGTGAGAGAGAGAGAGAGAGAGAGAGAGAGAGACAAAAGCATTAGCGGAAGAGAATTTATTCACTCTGATCGGGCACAAACAAAGCACACTCGCGAGTACGTATATGCATATATAGACCGCTGCGACACCTCGAAGACTTGTCTCGAGTGTGACAATCATCTAAATGCTGCACTTCTGCCGCTATGCAGCGGGCCAGGGCGAAAAAGGAAACAACCTGGAGCTGATTCCCGATGCCTTCGACAACGATCAGGAGGTATTAGCCTGCGAGAACTCCGACGTCACGGTGTCCACAACACGCCCAGAAAAGACATTGCCGATGACAGGTAGTATGCATGCTCTTTAAGCGATGAATACACGTACGTACCTTCAGAGTATAGGTTACTTGTATACGTGGTCAGTATCAAGTAGCAGTCTAGCCTAAGGCACTACCAGCTTCGCTCTCATTTTTTCGCGCATGCGCCCTAACTATATTCGGAACGACATGCTGGCGCGAACAGCTTGCGAGAAGCAACTGCTCCTGCGCAATTTAAACATCGTCTTTGTAGACACCAGGCCGTACTCAGGACGCTGCCCTAGTTTGTAGTCGTTGGAATTTACCGTTTGAAAGCCACGATATGAATATAAGAGACGCCGTGTAGAGTGTATGCATGACCTGTGGAAGTTTCGAGCATCAGGAGTTTTTTTAACGCTAACTTAAAGCTAAGTACACAAGTCTCAAGTATTCTCGCTTCCGTCAAAAAATGCGGCTGCAGCGGCCAGAATTAGGTGCTGCGACCTGCGGGTGAGCATCCGAGCACAATAACCTCGACCACTGTGGCGGGTTAGGACACCGGTGTGATAAGGCGCAACGGAGTTGCGGGTGACGTAAACTGATGGTGTTTTGTTTAGAGTGCACCGTAAGGTCAAAGCTTCAAATAGGCCTGCTAGTGCACATGCCCGGGCTTCCTGTCTTAGAAGTGCACGCCTTTAACTTCATTTGAACAATCTATCTCTCAGCGTGGGTCGCTATCGGACAAGGCTCCATGGCGTAGCCGGAAAATCTTTCTGAAAGGAGCACGCCCTTAATCAAGAAGGATAAATTGTGTGTTTTCTAGAGTTATTTTATTCTGTACACGTATCATTGCACATGAAAATCATTTCGATTGTCCCACAGCCTGGAAACGCTGTAGTCTATCCTGTATGGGCCCTTCAGAAAGGCGTGGCTAATAGCGCGCTTTAGGGAGAAGTGATTCTTAAATTATTAAAAAGAAGATAAATGTAATCCTAGCAACTGTCTGCATATAAGTGCAACACCTCAGCAGTGGCTCACCAAGGAAGGGGATAAGTAGGGGTTAAAAGGATGGAGTGTGTAGTGAAGATAAGAAAAAAAGGATGGGGACACCGCTGAAGGACTCCGAGGACAGGGTACCACAAAGCGAGAGCTTCGCAGCGTCAGTAGATGGTGGGGAGGGAACCGGTCGGCCAGAGCTGCGCTGCCGTCTAAGACCTCGGGGGCACAGCCATTCGGCATGAAATCCAGCATGCGGGTCCTAATAGCCCGCTTGACTTGGCGGACTTCAACAAAAGCACCGGCTTTGTCGACCTATAGCCATATCCATAACCATAACCAAGCTTTCGTGCAGCTTTAGGTTGACCGCAAAGGAGCGCTGAACTAGGCTGGCTGCTACAGAGCGAAGCAGAACAGCCCGACAACAGGACGTAGTAAAGATGACGGATACAGTGCTGACTGACGATCAATGTCACGCGCATAAAAAAACACTATTGGAATATAGAACGAGCGAGTGTTGACCGCGGACTATCGTACATTTCACAATCGTTATTAGCTAGATGGAAAGTTATAGGGGAGTACACTGACACATGCGTCACCATAGTCTAACTCAGCCGCTGTTGGTGTTACACTTCAGCAGCGTTCTGTCGGCATTGCACCAACACTCGGCGCACATATCGCGCGAGCATGCTGTCGATACGCTTGGGCATCGCGTCGGCTTGAACGTGTCTCCAGTGTCCAAATATTATGAGCGCGACAAGTCTTTTCATTCTTTCTCATATCATAATCACTTGTACATCTTCGTTATCTCTACATGCCATCATTAATGTAACTTAGTGCGAGCCTGACTCAATAATGCGCTTGCTCATAAGTGGTGGAGGTACGCAAAACTTGGTTAACAATACTCAATTTCACAATAAAATACTTGCCGACCCACCGATTTAAACATTCGCAATTCCAGGCAGGCACCACAGTTTTGATCGTTCCCTGTAACTATAGGGTCACTTCTGAGACGCGTTTATTGACTTTGCAGGCAGAAGCGCATATCCACATATATACCACTCTCACTTACAAATATTGCACACCTATCGGTTATATAGCTGTGATTACAGCTTGAGAGCCGTGGCGCCGACTTGTGAGTGAAAGTTCTCAGATATAAGAAAGAAAGTCTCATAGTACGACTCCAGAAACAGTAAGTTCCGCAGGCGCTCAGTAACTTATAGGCCTCTATCTACACCTGCGGCTGCTTCGTAGCAATATACAGCGGCGATGGGTGTATAGGTCGCGAGTACATCACGCATTGTCCGTGACAATAGAGGCAAATGTAATGACCCCTGAATGCTGCGCGTCCTCCGCAGCTGCTCGTAGGAAGGCTACAGTTTCACGCCGAGAAAGGAGTGCTACCGTGGGGTTCGCCTCCCGAAAGTCAGCGACCATAGCACGCAAGGTGGGCAGAGCTGCGCCACGGCGTCGGAGGCGCCTATCGAAGAGCACGACACGCAAGCGCAGTGTGCTATCTTCAACGAGTCGCCGGCTGAAAACCACGACGCGAAAGAAGAAGAGACAGCATACTGCGGCAGCCAAAGCGAGACGCCATGGTATGTCTCTATGCCACTTCCCAAAATTACATGTATGCATAAGTGTACATAACACTGATACATCATCTCACTCAAACACAAAGCACTGAAAGCGAAGACAGAGCTTCATGTTATAGGCTTTAACTTTTGTTAGTGTGTTCTAGCAATATCTTTCTCCTGCGCTGTCTGAAGATGTTTCCATAACTAGCCCGACCACCATGCTTGCTCAGTTTCAGCAGTTTGTGAAAAGATTGAGCAATGCAACACACGCAGAGAAAGCGCACAAGATAATATTAAGAATAAAAGAACCAATCAAAGAAGCCAGCTAGGGGCATCGCAGAAGAGGGGGAAGAGTGTTCTATTGCCTTTTATGTATTTGCTTGTATGCAGACTAAAAGATTTTGGAATTGTGATATATAGTGTACGTAGCACGTTGAAACAATATATCCCTCCAAATTAAACTGTTTAACTCCATGTTTAACGCTGATAAAATACTTTCATTCAGTCACATTATTTTGTGTAGCTCTCCATAGTTTTGTTACAGTTAATTTGTTGCGTGCGCGTGTCGCCTCTGTCTCTCACAAACATATAATTACCTAAAAAACTCGCAAGTTCTCTCATGTACACGCCCAAGACGATTCGAAGACGAAAGCCATCTTCATCTTCTTCTCAGTCGATTGCACTAATCCTTACTCCCTCGCATTTTTCCGCATTCTCTTTTCTGGTACAAATACTCAGAAGCTGCCATCAGTCGCACGAGTGAAGCCTTAAGACGGCTGGAAAAACGGTATGATTTGTTTATAATCCACACATTCAAAACCTTATAACAAATCTCGCACTTCAGGTGGAGCATTTGTATCCATATGTCACGCTAAATACTTGTCCTCAAGTCAACGGGTATGTACACAAAACTAGAAATTTATTGAGGGTCTCTTTAATTCTTTTCGTGCATGAATAACACGTGAAGGGTAAATTTTAGTATGCAGAATATACATCATGAAAGAAAATCACATTATATTTATATCTTTACATAATAGGATGCCTTCGGGAACAGTTGCGCCGATAGTGATGCTTATCACCTTGGTAAATCCTTCTTTCACCACTTTATTGCCACTTGTTTTCCATCACTTTCAATATTGGCTGCACTGTCCTCTGCATGGAACAATACAGCGCACAAATTTGGAATACTCATTGGGTACCTGGTCTGACATTGCGCGTACTTAAAACCACCCAGGTACGGGGAGTCTCGCCATGCGCAAACACGTCACGACCAAGAAGGGACAACGAAGCAGTGTGACTACAGAGGCCCCCGACACTTCCATCAGAGAGCAGAGGTAATAGCGACGGCTTTCACACCATCTTTCTTTTGCCTTGCTCGTTTCTCTAAGCCATATATTAGGTCCTATAAACACACTTGATGTATTTACTTGAATGACAAACACTGATTTCTACAACTGAACGATATCGCATTATGTCATTAAGTGATGAGACCATGTTGGGCCCTTGGCCAGACACCAACAGTGCAACTGTGGTCATAAGAGCGGTTTTAACCTTTTTGGAAGCGACTGGACTATAAGCGCGGGTATAAAATGTTTCTCAGCTAGAAAGAATTCTATATACTCACCTCTCTATCTCACCATTGTCATTCATTAGTATTTCTTCTCCCCTTCCCCTTCCCCAATGTAGAGTAGCAGGCTAGAGCAAGCTATCGGTCAGGCCAACCTCTCTGCCTTTCTGAAATAAACCTCTCTCTCTCTCTCTCCCCCTCTTACTTTTCTCGCCACGAACAGAGAGACCTTTTCTAATATGATGTGCAATAGTGGTAACGTAGGTGGCTCATTCTGGTGCTACATCGCATGCATCGCTTCCCGAGCCTATCAACACTGTGAGTTAGCATCAACGTACAAGGGCGGAACGAAAGACGAACTACACAGCCAACTGCGCACAGCACGCTCTGATCTTTGTGGCAATAAATAGGAAGAATAAGGGTTCTCGTTTGCATCACGGATGAATCCTAGTGGCTTTTTATTGCAATCCAGATCTACAACCACCTGAAAAGAAGTACGAAGCAGAAGGGAAGGAACATGCCGCACAGTTCGGGTTTCCTTTCATTCCTACTGTAATAATAATAATAATAATAATAATAATAATAATAATAATAATAATAATAATAATAATAATAATAATAATAATAATAATGTAATATTAATATCTGCAGTTTAACGTCCTCAAACAACCATATGATTATGAGAGACACCTTAGAGGAGGGCTACAGAAAATTCTACCCTCTAGTGTTCTTTAACGTGCACCCAAATCTGAGCCCACGGGCTTACAGCATTTTCGCCTCCACCGAAACGGTAGCCGCCACAGCAGAGATACTCATCCCTATTGTGAAATGCTCAGTTACTAAAATGCCACACTCGGAGCGCGTGGCTGCAGCGCTAAGGACGAGGGCGTTCGTGACACATTGCGGCTGCATCCGGACAGCCAGTGGTTCTTGGTGACACTGAAGGAACGCTACTTGCCATGGCTTAAAAACACCCACGGGCCGCACCACGTGACGATGCTGGAGCTGGCAGATGCGCATTACGAAGGAATGCATCATCGTGCTGGTGCCACTGTGAGCCTCATACAAGCATTGTTTACCGGATGCACTCGCCATGAATCAGGAACACTCTCGTTCTCTCCGCCACCCTCATCACCTACAGCCACACTCTCCGAGTATCGCGTTTCCATTCCAAGCGCATGGTACGTCGCACCACTGGGCTTTGCCAGGCCTGTATGCTGAGTAAGCGTGAGAATAAACTTGAGTGAGTGCCTACGGGTAATATATATATATATATATATATATATATATATATATATATATATATATATATATATATATATATATATATATATATATAAATATATATATATATATATATATATATATATATATATATATATATATATATATATATATATATATATATATATATATAGAACGAGGTTGGCACGAGCAGTGATCGGCCAGATCCCTGGACTCCCGCATTGATCATCTCCTGTAAATAAAGGCATCCATCGCACCGTAACAATATATATATATATATATATATATATATATATATATATATATATATCGCGTCAGTCGAACCTTGAGCTGTCTTCTTCATCCTTTCCACGAGAAGTCCCGAGTGCGTGGCGCATATCTGCAGGGTCCAGCAGCTGGGTGCTCGTGCCATCATCGTCTCAGCACGGCACAAGACGATGTGCATGTGTGTCCCTGTGCGTGCGGTGATGGGCGCGTTGTTTGAATGCAGGCAATATAGTCGGGGGCGTAAATGTGAGCGAATACCTATGCGTGTGACTAGTCGTGAATGCGAACATCAGTGAGCGCGAGCATGCCGCACAAAACACGTGGTGATACACATAGTGAGAGGTCGTGCTAAGGAAGTGAGAAACCTTAATGGTACTGACGTCGTTATATAGCGTTGGTTGACTATACAAGCGGTATGAGGCCAAAAAAAAAGCTTTATTGCAATATCGTGTTAGCGCAATAACAGCAATTTCAAGTTGGAAGAACAGAGAAAACAGACAATCAGAAAATGAGATTCGACTTTTTCTTATAGATATAACTTTAACTCATGCTGCGCTTTGCAATTGGCTGGCGGGTCGAATGCGCCAAGCATCATGCGGTTGGCATTTCGAAGCTGCGTCGTTCATGTACGCTGTGTGTCCTCGCGCCACGGCGCACGATTGCGTCGGCACCTGTCTCTCCGCGGCGGTGATTGCGGCACCTCCTCTCTGCCTCTCGGAGAGCGCTGATTGTTCGGTATTACTGTGTTCGAGATGCTCTCTTAGGAAGTTACTGAGATACAGAACGCAAATATGGTACGGGACGTTACCGCTACCCCTCTCTCGCTCATTGTATATCTTTCGGTGCTCTCAACTCCAGTAAAAGCACCCAAACACCTTGACGGCCTTTTTAAAAAACAACTGTTCAAGGTGTCACGCCTTTTTTGTTACCTGTCAGCCTGCGCATTTGCGATTATTCTGTCCATCGGGCTAGCTACTTTAATAAGATGATATGTGGGGTTTAACGTCCCAAAACAACCATATGATTATGACAGACGCCGTAGTGGAGGGCTCCGGAAATTTTGACCACCTGGGGTTCTTTAACGTGCACTCAAATCTGAGCACACGGGCCTACAACACTTCCGCCTCTATCGGAATTGCAGCCGACGCAGCCGGGATTTAAACCCGCGACCTGTGGGTCAGCAGCCGAGTACTTTAGCCACAAGACCACCACGGCGGGGCTATTTTATTATGATACTACATGAGTGCTCTTCGCGTATCTCGTTATTTTGCGCTCAAACATAATGCAGAGCACACTTTAGGCACAATGCGCTGGAGAGGAGAAGCGTTACCACAATCCCAATCCGTATTCGCGTGCCGTATTTGCGTAACGTGCAGGGGCGTAGCCAGGCTGTAGCACACTAGCCCCGTCGCCCACCCCCTCCCCGAGAAAATAGTTCTTATTGCATGCATGTATGGTAACTCTTTAATGTGCCATTTTAATTGGAGGCGGAGTGTCCGTAACATGGACAACGTGCGCTCAGAAATTATTTATAAATGCGCCTGATAATGTAATGCCAACCTGTGCTCACAAGGCTGCATCGCACGCCCAACTAAAACCGTCTGTCGACAAATTAAGATCACTTTACGCTTCTTTTTACACGCTCCAAAAATACGATTGATGCAGTAATTTACCAAGGGTGATTCTTTCCTAGTTGCAGATTTTGGCTGCACTGCTGAACGCACAATATACCGCTTTGAAATGCCGTTTTCTGTTCGGCCTCATGACATTTGCAGCAATGTATTCAAAGCGCAGCGTCTGTCTGCTCACGCAAATGTTATTAAAATCAGTTAGCGTGCAGAACAACCCGACATACAAAATAAATCAGATGACCTTTGTTCAATATAAACTAATTTGAGGAGGAGATAAATTACTGCGCTTAGAGAATGGCGCGTATGGCACTTAAATGTCGTGATTTCTCAGTTGTCGTTTCATTGGCGCACAGCGAATACATGACGGGGTTGTCACCTTCTTGTTCGTTAAAATGTACGTTCGCAGATAAAGTATTTGAGATTGATGCTAGCATAAAATACTGATTTTCGAAAGAAAATATGCATGTTCAAATTCTAGTTCGTTTTGATTGCTCGTTCATAAAACAAGATGTTCACGAAGTTTGGTGACTATCTGGGCAGTATAGCTATTTTTTTTTACTAGACGGTGGCGCGCATTTGCTGCTGTAAGCATATCTGAAACATATTTTGAAGAAGCAGCTCCTACGCGGGCAAACAGGCCGAATGCGAGTTGAATGCCCGTGTACATTTTCGTGCCTTTTAGCAACGCAACAGTTTCTAGGGGCACTGAACTATGGAGGACAAACGCAAATATTTTTATGAAGGAATATTTCTAGTCTTGGCGACAGCGGAGTCGCTGAGAAATAGGACCTGGAGCTAGATTTTGCGGAGACTAATCTCGTGAGAAATCTCAATGCACCATTGTTATATTGACAATTTATAAACGCATCTGCTTGCGCGCCAGTTCTGAAGAAATCTAAGACTCTTATCTGAACGATCACGCTACCACTGCTTATAAAGTCCGAATACTCTTGCCGTTATATAAGCTGAGTTGGTCAAATCACGCACATTGGAGTGGCAAGTGATTCTATAATTTCAAGCTGTAGAACTGACTCATGCTAGCTTCGCGCGGCTACCATAAAAACCATAAAAAGTGGATAACACTTTCCGCTGTGCCTAGTCACTACCTTTCCGCTGTGCCTAGTCACACACACACACACACCACACACACCACACACACACACACACACACACACACACACACACACACACACACACACACACACACACACACACACACACACACA